TGTGCTGAATGCACTTATTTCGAATACACCTTGTACTTATGATTATATATTAACCACAAAAAAAACTTCATCTGATTCAGATCAAATTAATTCTTTTATATACTCACCTCTGATATAACAGTTTGTTTCTATTGTTCAATTTTTTTACTTGTTTTGTATCTTTGTTGCTCATCTTTACTATTCGTTTCTGTTTTTTATAAACTCAAATCTTATAAGTACAGGGTGGGCAAAATTGGGCGTTTTCACCGTCTATCTCAATAACTAGAGTAGTTATCGAAAAACCAATATACATGTTCCGGGTTTGATTTTGGAGAAACCTCGAATGGTACAATCAAAATTTCGATATTTTCATTCGTTTTAGAGATACAGGGGGAAATTGAAAATTTGCGGATTTCGATTTTATTTTACTACTTTACGGTGAGAGGTATCAAAAAATTTCAAAAGTATATTTATACAGTATGATGCGTGGAATCCATTGGCATCATCAGAAATTTTATACAGGGTGACGTTGAGAAAATACGGCAGCCAATTATGTTTTTTCTAATGGAACACCCCCTATATTTTGACACAGTTGAATAGTCCCAGGCGTTCTCATTACAAATATATATATAACCCCACCTTTTCCTTCCACAATTTCAGATATATTCGCAAAAATATATTCAGTGTGTCACATTTCTTATGGTTACACCCCCGTATCTTCTGTAAGAATAATTGATGGAAACATTAACAATCATAATATTTTGTGGCAGAATGCCTGAATATGATACTTGACCCATTATTTTTAGTATGCCTTAATATTTTTGCGTTCAAAGAGATAATAAATAAGATATATATTTGAAATTGAAACGGGAACATTCCTCACTGCCAAAATATACGGGGTGTTCCATAAAAAAAATTGTTCTGTTTCTGGAATTTGGACATCTTCTATAAGGCTATATTTTTCAACGCAACCTACTGATTTTCTAATTGAGTAAATTATTGGTCTTATATCTGTATCTCAAATGTCTTGATAACAATGATATCAAATCGAATAATTTCCCATTTTATTTCTCACCAAATATCCATTTATCTGGAAATTACATTCCCTATGATATTTATTTTCCTCATTTGGTGAATATATACAGAGGTTCATTTTCAACCTCGATTCTGCCTGTTGATAGCATTATCCAGAAATATCGATGATTCCATAGCTGCTGGCGAGCAGTGTTATCATTGGAGATGATCCCACTTGGTCCATGACTCCATGAGTGTATCATTTATATCTTTCTGACAGTTGCGAATTTTTGAATCCTACCTCAATTATTTTTACAGAAGATACGAGGGTGTAACCATAAGAAATGTGACACACTGAATATATTTTTGCGAATATATCTGAAATTGTGGAAGGAAAAGGTGGGGTTATATATATATTTGTAATGAGAATGCCTGGGACTATTCAACTGTGCCAAAATATACGGGGTGTTCCATTAGAAAAATTATAATTGGCTGCCGTATCTTTTCAACGTCACCCGGTATAAAATTTCTGATGATGCCAATGGATTCCACGCATCATACTGTATAAATATACGTTCGAAATTTTTTGATACCTCTCACCGTAAAGTAGTCAGAAAATAAAATCGAAATCGGCAAATTTTCAATTTCCCCCTGTATCTCTAAAACGAATGAAGATATCGAAGTTTTGATTGTGCCATTCGAGGTTTCTCCAAAATCGAACCCGGAACATATATATCGGTTTTTCGATAACTCCTCTAGTTATTGAGATAGACGGTGAAAACGCCCAATTTTGCCCACCCTGTACCTATGTACCTGTATTTTGTGATATTTCTGAGTAAGAATGTTTGTTTTGTTTGTTACTATTTTGTTGGGAATAGGTTACTGTTCTGTTCACTAAAAGTACCTATATAATGTTCTGATGTCATATAGGTTTATTTCATTATCCTTTCTTGGTATTCGTATAGCATAAAATAGATCTGAATTTTTGACAAGTTATTCACTGATGAAATGAAAATAGTACGGGCAACCCTGGACGCGCGGAGAGTGTGTTGACAACAACTGTCATTTGCTGTTGTCAAATTAATTATCCAGGAAATTCGATAGATTTCACGCGTGAATAGGACCTGGATGTGGATATACGAGGTTGTCGAGGTTTGAGGTCGACGAAAAAATTCAATACGTACCTCGGCGAAAAACTGTCTATTGTCTCACCGGATTGCTAGACTCGGCTATCAACTTGCAGACAGTTGTTCGTCCTTGGTACATAAATTAGTAAACTGGCCAACATTGATAACGTCGTGCTTCAAAATATAGCCTGAATTCAAAGTAGAATAACTCACGAATTTCCCCACCAATTTGAAATCGGTTTTCACCGATGATTAGCCTAATCTCTTGACAGTTTGTTGTGACAATATGAAACTTCCGTTATTTCAGATAATATTGCTACAGGGTGATAATTGAATGGGTGTAAAATTGCATCGTGGTCGTCAACTTACCGATTGAACAGATAATGTTTTCATTTTTTTTCTCTCACCTGTATCCTCTTGATTGATGCTTTCTCTCGAAACTTTATCGGAATTTTTGAATTCAGAGCTTTGATGATCGTGTTATGAATATTCATTCAAAATGATGCAATTTTTCGACGATTAATTGAATGAAATTGAAAGTTGGAATTCTTTTGCGAAGAATCAACGTTGTATGTATAGTCGTCGGATATACATACAAAGTGATACAAGAAATACTGAATGGAATGGAGAATAACTTAGTTTTCAGTTGATGAAACATATTTTTCTCTGTGTTACTAAATGGTTTTGTAATTTCTTGGATCGAAGGTCATATAATGAAAGTACGCATAATCAAAATGATGCATTTTCGTTTATTAAATTCAACAAATTGAGATTGTAGTTTTAGAAGTATGAAAAAACAAACTGTCAAGAGATTAGGCTAATCATCGGTGAAAACCGATTTCAAATTGGTGAGGAAATTCATGAGTTATTCTACTTTGAATTCAGGCTATATATTAGAGCACGACGTTATCAATGTTGACCAGTTTATTATTCACTACTTTAGCACATATATTCCATTAATTCCCTAATATAATGTCTTTTCAACCTGAAATCTTCACTTTCTCGGGGTTATATAGTTCATGTTGTCATTGAAAGCTGTTGAGGTCTCATAATGAGTGAGAAAAAAATGTAAAAAAAAGTTTCGTGCGACAGTTATGAAACACCCTGTATATGGTTCAGACTCAGAGTATATACCATGGCGGGTAAAATACGTTTTTCTATGCTGAGCTTTAACAGTTCCATCAAATGAGAAATTAAATGCTCGAAGAGGATTGGTTATGTCAATTGACTCTTTTTTTATCTACTATGAAGAAGTCACGATTATTCACCAGTCCAGCCACAAGAAAAAAAGATTTTCTCAGATGTTAGTAGTAGAAAATATAATATTACATAACATGGGACTAAAGTTAGTTAGTTAGTTAGTTATAAGTGGTTTGTTTCTCGAGAGCTATGATTCCTGAAGGAAACCAGTCACTGATACAATAATGCAATTTTACGAATACCACTTGGTAACTATGTATTTACTGAAAATAATGAAGTTTCTTACATTTCCAACATTTCACTTCAGTCCCTGTAAGGAGGAAACAAAGGATATAATTCTGTTCCAAAAACGTTGAAAAGATTCCTAAGTCTGTTTATTTGATCACTTTTGTTCTCATATTTGGGTTTTCATATTTGCAGAACCATCGATTGAAGTGCAATGCCAATATTTTCTTGTTTACATTGTTGCTACACTTTTATCATGTTTTCATTCTAGAACCTTTTGTAGTATAATTGCGAATTGGGAGTGAGGAGAAAATCTTTTTTTTTTTCAAATACTATGTGTTTCAATTGAATTTTCAAGGTGTGTCGGTATAGTGCTCCGTCAAAATAATTCCATGAATTATGGGATCAGAAAAATCCAACAACTTTTCGAGAATCGGAAATAGAACTGTGGGAGGAGCCGAATTTCAAAAACAAAATGATTCTACTCTGCACGTCGAAGTAGGCAGCCCTCTGTTATGCAAAAACAATACAGCGTTATACACAGGATATGAAAGGTATGATCCATCTTCATCTCCATCAATATTGGGAAATGTGAATGGAACTACAGTTCTCAACACACTAAATGGACCACTCATAATTTGACTCTATTTCGAAGACCTATATTTTTTGAAAAAATTTACCGATCTTCATGCGGTTTTCGATATCAGATGTGATGTTTCATCGGCTTCAAAGAGAGCTAGAACACTCTGAAAAAGTCCGCAGAACAAAATGTAAGGTCTACATTTCCAATGCTGCCAGAACTCGAGAAATTTTTTTCTGATCAAAAGTCAGTCATATTTATGATACACTGAGACCTCATCTCAGGACATTTTCGTGATTTCTCCTCAATTGGCCATTGGAATAAAAATTCGATTTTTTTTCGAAAGTCCCGCATTTCTTGATTTTTTCCTCTAGAACTCCACTTGAGCTGACTATTGGGAAGAAATATTCTCATGTTCTGTGGAGGACAATGAAAGACGAAAAAAGCACTTTTTTGGAATATACAGGATGATAAAATTATAGGACAAAATCTCATTTCAGTAAAAAAAATCAAACACGGTGACTAAAACCATGGCCCATTCGATTCAGTATATTCAGAAACGGCCTTCTCGATATCCATTATTTATATTAGACTAATAACTCGATACGTTTTCGAAAATTCGCCTCTAATATAAATACAGGATGAAAATTTTCAATTCAAACTTGTTTCCTGATATCGATGATTCTTATCATTTTATCAACTGATTTCCAATATTTATCGCCCATGTATGAGACACAGAGTATTGTTGTTCAATATACTGAGTGTTTCACAACTTATCTGACAAATTACGAGCTCTAGAAAACAATAATGTTAGAAGAATGTTTTGACCAGCATCATCTCCAGATCTGAATTTGATTGAACATGTGTGGAGCCGAATGAAAGTTAACCTATCGAGAAGGCAAGAGGCACCCCAAAATAATGACAACCTTATCCAAGCTGTATCAGAAGAATGGGAGGCAATATCAATAGACTTCATCAACAACCTCATAGAATCTATGCCAAACCGATTTCATGAGGTTTTGTTGAATCGGGTAGGCCCTACCAACTACTGAAATTTAGGATACAGGACTTTCTAGTTGGATCTTCATAATGCTGAAGAATTCACTAATGTCATATGTCGCCAATAGAGCCCTTTTCGAATAGTTTTAGTGGATAAAAAGTGTTATAAATTTTATTTTCCATCTCGTTTTACTTCTATAATTTTTTTTGTGATAGACTTCTTATGTAATATCGTAGTTGTGGTTGAAATTTGTCAGATAAGTTGTAAAACACTCAGTATATTGAACAACAATACTCTGTGTCTCATACTTGGGCAATAAATATTAGAAATCATCGATATCAGGAAACAAGTTTGAATTGAAAATTTTCATCCTGTATTTCAATTAGAGGCGAATTCTCGAAAACGTCTCGAGTTAATAGTCTAATATAAATAATGGATATCGAGAAGGCCGTTTCTGAATACACTGAATCGAATGGGCCATAGTTTTAGTCACCATTTTTAATTTTTTTTACTGAAATGAGATTTTGTCCTATTTTCTTATCATCCTGTATATTCCAAAAAAGTGCTTTTTTCGTCTTTCATTGTCCTCCACAAAACATGAGAATAGTTCTTCCCAATAGTCAGCTCAAGTGGAGTTCCAGAGAAAAAGTTCAAGAAATGCAAGACTTTCGAAAAAAAATCGAATTTCTGTTCCAATGGCCAATCAAGGAGAAATCACGAAAACGTCCCGAGATGAGGTCCCAGTGTATATGACTGACTTTTGATCAGAAAAAAATTTCTCGAGTTCTGGCAGCATTGGAAATGTAGACCATAGTGTAATGGTACCACTTTACACCCTGTGTACGTTTTGTTCTGCGGACTTTTTCAGAGTGTTCTAGCTTTCTTTGAAGCCGATGAAATATCACATCTGATATCGATAACCGCATGAAGATCGGTCAATTTTTTCAAAAAATACAGGTCTTCGAAATAGACTCAAATTATGAGTGGTCCATTTAGTGTGTTGAGAACTGTATATGGTGAATTCACTAATAGGGCCTTGTTTTGGTAAGAACAACAACAGTACCTACTCCAATTTGTCGGGCATACAGTTTTTCGTCCAGTTCTGATTTATGTTCATAGTTCAATTTCAAGAATCGAAGGAAATCTCGAATCCCCAAAATTATTACTGCACAAAAACCCTCAGACTCACATATTCAGGCGAATCAGATGAAAATGTCAACATTTTAGAATCTCTGAAAACCCCCAATGTAGATTTTTGGGTAAATTGAACGTGTAATGACAAAGTTGTCTGCCAACTTGGATACGCCATTTCGAACTATGAAATTCTGATAGAGAATTCCTGCTATACTCAACCTTACAATCCACCGGTTACACAATATCAGTCAGATAGGACGAAAATGGCAAAATTGTTCGCCATCTTGAATGTGTCAAGATTGATTCGAATTTCAAAATTTTGTCCACTGGAAAATTATATTCCTCAGCCTTCAAAATCTCTGGATACAAATTTTCGGTTGAATTGGGCGAGGAATGAAAATCTAGTTGAGTTCAACGCCACCAAAACTCAAGCCCGTATTCTCTACAGAAAAGCGGAACTCACTATGCTTGATATAGTATAGTATGATGCAAATGTATGGAATAAATTCATTTCAAAACAAGGCGACTTCCGAAAAAAATCCAAAAACTAGAGTTCAGAACTTTTTTTATTGTGTATTTTTTCAACTAGAAGACCCTTCGATGTTCAATTCTCAGTAGCAGACCTCTGCAAGATTCAGTTTACCAAATGATAATCCCTTTTAATTGCAATATTCTTAAGCAAAATTTTGACTGTTGGATAGACGATCAGTAGACCTTTCAAACGAGGTGTCACATGACCCCTGCTTGTATTTGAAAAAATCGTCCATTACGTCATTACTTCTACACCAGTGACGTAACATCTCTCATATGAAAGTCATGAGATGAGGCTTCAAAAATTAAAACTCACGTGTTTTTGGAATTTCTTCAAATGTCGCCCATTTCTGAAATAATGAATTTATTCCATACATTTGCATCATACTGTATATTAATGTCTGGTACCACCATTCTCACGAAGACCACTATATCTATCCTCGGTATTTTTATCAGCAATACCTATTCATGGGAAAATCATGTCAGATCCATCGCGAAAGCTGCTTCACAGACACTCGGATTTTATCCCAAGTGGAAAGCTACACACTTCAACAGATTCTCTACAAAGCATAGATACGGTCTATTTTAGAATAATGTTCCCATGTAATGGGGTTCAGCACCCAAACATATACCCAGATGCTCTCAGATTCCATCCAGACTTCAGAGACGAACCATTAGCCTGGTAGGTGATGCCACAGTCACTAATTCTTCGACACCATTGAACACGTTAGAAAAGTCGGCGACCTTTTACTTCTCAATAGATACTTCCACGGGAAATATATTCTTCAGGAATCTCTGCTATTAGTGTGTGGTGCCAACGAAATGAGTTAGTTCTAAATACTGCCAAATCAATATCTGTCAAGTTCCATACCAGGAAAAATAATATAAATAACCTCACTATTGATGATATTCAATCCTCTCACGCGACCAAATTCTTAGGTACCTACTTAGATTCTAATCTCAACTGGAAAAGCATTTAGATCATATTTGTGCCATCTTGAATAATTCATACTATGCCATAAAACAGATCAAATCAAGCTTAGACGAACCTGCACTGCTTAGCCTTCACTATGCTATGGTCTATTCCAATATAAGTTCAAATATTATGGTTTGGGGTAGAGCAACGGACTTTTTTATAACTCAAAAACGAATTTTGAGACCTAAATTAGACAAGGACTTTCGAGACAGCTGGCGGCCTACTTTTAGAGAAAAAAAAAATTAACAGTACCTTTCATCTTCATTTTGAAATGCGTTATATTTGTAAGCAATGACTTGTAGCTTTCTTCAGAAAACGGGTCCGAACATGAGCATAATACGCGAAAAGGTGATCTTTTGCGGATCCCACATGACAAAATGGCACTGTATAAAAATTCCCCTCATTATAATGCCATTACCAGTTATAATAAGTTACCTCACGAAGTCAGAAGTATCAATAGTAATAAAATATTTCATGGTAAAGTTAAAATTTTCCTATTACAGAATAGTATATTACATAACAAGAGTTGTAAAACGCATATTACGCACGAAGTGGAGAGAGTTACACACGATGCCGCATAGCGCATAGCGGCGAGTGTGTAACTCCACAAGTGCGTAATTGCTTTACAACTCGAGAATTGTACTATACTTTTTTTACGACTACACTATATTTTCTTCCGGATAGTGCAGATATTGTATTAAGGCACAAATAACGAATACCAATATAAAACGGCTTCCGTCACTAAGCCAGCTGCATGAAAAGTTACAAATCATAATTCTTGTGTTTGTTTATATTGATACATTGCATACCGAGATATTTTCCTCAATTCGAACTGAAATGGAGCCGTTTTTCATATCTAAACAGCTATATTAATAGGTAGCAAAAACACATTGTATAAAGATATAAAATTAACATTCATAATGGTTATTTATTTGTAACAGTGCAGCACGAGAGATTCTGTAATCGTTATTAAAAATAATAAAAAAAAGTTCTCCAACTGCGCTCTGAACCACCGCCCTTTGGGTTCGGAGCCAGCGCTTCCAACAACTGAGCTATCACCATTTCTCCGTATTAGTAGATATTTTATAAATATAATTTCGAAGATGGATCTTTTTAATTATTCCTGTTATTTAAAGAAAAAGGAATTCATCAATTCAATGTTGAGTATGTTTGTTATTTGAAAAATTACCTTCAACAGGAGCATTCTGCAGAAAATAATTGATCTGTTCAGCATTAAGTATTTTTGATTTTTTACTTCGGAATCCATCCTTCCCTTTTGAGGAAATGGGATATGTTGCTATATTAATATTGTGATTGATATTTAGTGTTGATCGTAACATGGAATATATCGACCAGAGTGATGATGATTTCATCGAATTTGATAATTCTTGAAATTATACTAAAAGGATATTTTCCGAAATTGACACGGTATTATTTCTAATTCTCAAGTCCAGGAATTTTTGATGTGCTATTTCACGAGACTTAGCTGGTAGCAACTCATTTTTAGCCATTCTAGCTTTTTCCAACATTTCTGGTGGTGTAGAAATAATCTGCATGCTCATCGTCATCGCTTGACTTCATTTTTTTAACTGAAATTGAGAATTATCAATAGAAAATAATCATATTCTCAAAAAATATAACCTACCTGATGCTTTCGGTTTCGGTGGATAGCTGGATTGATTGATAAAAAGATAAGTACCTACCCACCTAGCTAATGACATTGATGAAATTGTTAATTGTTATTGACACATCGCCTAAGCAACAAAACAAAGTCATACCTATGAAAACCGTGCGATCGCTCTCTTTACGCACACGTGTGTAAGGAGAAGCTTACTGTCATTGTTTTGTGTACAATATCCATCACTTACAGTAGTAGTCGTAGGAAATAGTATATTATGTAACAAGTGTTATAAACGTCCTTTTAGTAACGAGTAGTTTAAGCACGAGCGGAGCAGAGCGGAGCGAGTGTTTAATAAACGAGTGTCTAGAAGAGTTTATAAACGCGTTACATACTATGATTTTTCTACGAACTCCGAAAATTACATTAACATACCTGCAATTCCTGCTAACCTACAAAATAATTCGAAAGGAATGGGAACATAATACATGCAACTGCATGCAACCAGCGAGACATGTATAAGTGATATTGGTTGTAGATGTGTCCAGTCCATTGCTTACCCATTGTTTCACGTTTATTGTCATGCTCAGCGCAGAATAAATAAATTGTTCTCAAAGATGGATGCTTCATTTTTACACTTCTTGGAGATATGCAAGTACCAGAACATTCTCTTCGATTTCACTTTCGTCTACATTTCGCATATATTTTTAATGAAGAATTCTGATACAAACGAATATTGTTTATTGTTCGAATAATTCTGATACAAAATTTGAAAATAACAGTTGACAGTTAATGCAATTGACAGGCCAGACATGTCTCAAATTACTGAAGCTGTGTTTAATGAACTGCGTTGCCATGGTAATGTGTTTAAGAAATCGTGTTGCCATGGTAACGTGTTTAATATTTTGAATAAATCACAGATCGACAATCTGTGATTAATCGATCATTTAGCGTGGTACATTTCCGTACGCTAAATGCCATTTTAGTTATGTGAGTAGAAAAAGCATATTATAGTTACCAAGAATTCTTGAATGATAATCTTGCCAATGTATTTCAGTTGTGCTGGTCTAAATTTTATTTCTTTATATTCCTTCTGTACATACTTTGGGACTTTTTATACATTTTATTTTCACACTTATTATGTTTTTTGACATTCCATATGTACCAAGGGTACCAAAATGGTGAATAACTATTATTATTATTCCATCACTGGCAATACAATTCAGACGTACTCGACAAGTCCAGAAAGCACATCCTTTCCTCGTCAACCTCGGAATATGTCGAACAACTCTTTACCAAAACACGTTCATCTATAGAAAGGCAAAGCTTTGAAATTATTTTCCAGTGGAAGTATTCCAAGAACTTATAATCTCAAAATGTTAATAATAAATTCCAATACCTACGAATACCTACGTCCTCTCCTTATCTTCCCCAGGTACACATGATGTTCTTCGAACATGATAGGGATTTCCTTTCCTAATCACGAATCTGCCATTGAGATCTATAGAAATAACAAGTTTCCATCGTTCAAGTTTGAACCCCTTGATTGGGTGAGAGTATTGAAAAGGAATATTCTCAGAAATGTTAATGAACACAAAAAATTTATATATACAGGGTGTTCCGGTGATCATGTTACAAACTTCTAGGGTAGATAAAACACACGAAAATAAGAAAAAAAGTTCATGTGAACATGGGTCCGGAAACGCTTCTTCAGGGAGCTAGGGCCCTTCGAAGATGACCTTCAAAAACTACTTTTCGTTTTATAGCTTCGGTACTACTGCAGCTATCGCAACCAATTTTGGGACATGAAATCTAGTTCGTAGGTTCATCAATTTGAGCCTTCCGGATTTTGTCACCTTCAACCAGGGGCGTACAAACCAGGGGGGTATTTGGGTAAATTTGACCCTACTCCTCTTAGGCTTTAATTTCTTACAATTTTTATATCTGATTATGATTCTCCAATGCCTTTTACATAAAAAAGGTACTCTTGTAAAAATCGCTATCTGTCACCGTTTCCTCCGAAAATGGCTAAATCCAATCAATAATAAATTATTGGTCTTGAACCAATTATTACGTTGAAATATGAAAATGAGGTTCAGTACAGATAGTGAGCATTATTAGTTAGTCAAATCTTCTTCTTTAATGAAAATAAATTAGATTAGAGAAATTTATTGCCTTTTCGAAATTGGGGGTATAAAAAGTAAAAGGGAACGTATACAAAATATTTCAAAAAAAAAAAAAATTAAACCTACACAAGCAAAACTAATAATAAATTTGCAATAAATCCATTTTCACAACGCCTTATCGCAATGTTATTCATAATATCTGAGATGTAACAATATTTTTAAATTGCTTTCACTCGATAATAATACATCTGATCGTCACGGAACAAGACTTTTTTCTGTAAAAAGGTGTTAAATTTCATAATCCGAGATTAAATTGTCGAAAAATATGCATACAAAAATTTTTGAGCAATATTTAATGTAGTCCCACCCTGTATCATACACTCCTGATTGAAATTTCGAAATAATTTTATTCTCACTGCATTGGGCATGGAAATTTTAGGTCTTGTACCAAATTGCATCTTTTTATTACATGGAGTTTCGGAAATACTCAAGAAACATCATCTTCAGGCGCCCCCTTTCAGGGGACCGTATCTCCCTTAAGAGACATTTCTCGACTCATGTTCATTGAAAGTTTTCTTTCTATTTTCGGTCGTAAAAGCCGCTGGTGAAGTTTGGCAGGCTAATTCTGAGACACCCTGTATATATATCCATTTTTCTGTGTTCATAAATATATCTGAGATTATTCCTTTTCGATGAAAAACCTGTTTATATCAATATTTTCAGATCTCAAAATCAACTCTGTTCGAAGAAGTCCCACATACGAGCGGTTCTCAAAAACGGGGAATACAACGTCCACCTATCCAGCGTATCCAGGAAAAACCTTCTCCGAGACATCTTCACGACTCTGGTGGACTCGAGATGGAGATGGACCATATCCATATTCGCTGCAGGCTTCTTCGGATCTTGGACTGTCTTCGCCATAGCTTGGTGGTTCCTGGCACTCGCACATGGGGACCTGGAAGAACACCACCTTCCCATGAATCAGGCCGCTTCCAATTGGACGCCTTGCGTGACAGACATCTACGGTTTCACCTCCTGCTTCTTGTTTTCCGTAGAAACCCAGCACACGACAGGCTACGGCGAAAAGAGGCCGACGGAAAAGTGTTCAGACGCCATTGTACTCATGTGCATCCAGAACATTGTTGGGCTCATCATCGAAGCCTTTTTGGTTGGCATTTTCTTCGCGAAGATGACCAGACCGAAACTCAGGACTCAAACCATTAAATTTTCCAAGCATGCTGTGATTTACATGCGAGATAACGTTTTGTGCTTAGTGTTTAGAGTAGGTGATATGAGGAAGAAAAGTGGGTTGATTGAAACGAAAATCAAGGCTAAGCTGATCAGGGAACGTGAAAGCACAGAAGGAGAGCTGCTCTCGAACCATCTCTCCAAGCTACCGGTCAGTGTAGACGACTGTGCTGAAGATTTACTCCTGATTTGGCCTGTTTCTATCGTTCACAAGATCGATGAATTTTCTCCGCTTTATAAGCTGTCGGCTGATGATTTGGTGAACGAGAATTTCGAAATAGTTGTTACGTTGGAAGGTACAGTCGAGAGTACCGATCAAAAGACGCAAGCTAGATCTAGCTATTTAGCGAGTGAGATCCTTTGGGGTCGAAGATTCGATTCAATTATTTCTGTAGACAGGGAAAAATGTGGATACAGAATTGATTATTCCAAATTTGATGATACTATAGTTGTGAATAACATGCCATCGTGTTCAGCAAAGAATTAGTACGATTAAATATAGTGGATAAAAGGAAATAACACGTGATATTGGAGATATTTCTGTGAACATGAGGTTCAATTGATAAGACATTACGAAAATGGAAGAATTGTCGAACCAACAATAGAATTTTGTTCAATTCATTTATTTTCGTTGGATATATTTTTGCAAAGTTTACAAAACGTATATTCATTTCAAAAGACAAAGCAATTCGAAACGACAGATTATTTTAATTGAAACAATTAAATGCGTACTTTTCAAATGGAGTTTTATTTTTTCCTAGATTTTTTGGGATTGTCTCGTTTCTACAAATAAAAATATGAGTATAGGTTTTCATATACATGGTATTTCAAAATTCACTACCAAAATTTCAGAGGCTTGTTTTTCAGATCGAAATAGTACTTTTTTCCTTTAGACATGTGCGCAATCGCTTCATTACCGATCTGTAGAGCGTTATTATTTCAAGATTTTTTCTCTTTTTTCTCTGTATAGACCGTTGGCCCATAAATAGATTCATTTGGCTATTTTAGAACAAGAGAGCAATATGGTATGAAACAAATTATTAACATTAACATATACAACACACAAATACTAGTAGATTATTGAATTCAAAAAAACCATTCACCAATAAACAAGAACGTATACAAACAATCCTTTTTCCAAAAACAACGCAGACTGAAGATGAAAAGAGATTGAGAAAAATCATCGGGAATTCAGAAATTCAGATACACTATAAAAACAGTTTCCTATGAGAAATATTTTCAGTTCAGGTGTAATTAGATCTATGAGTTCAGTTTGGAGATCTCTTTTATTCAAGGAGCGCAACTCTGAACTTAACTTATTGTAAAGCTTTAAATTAATGGATTTTGATTCCGATTTTTTTAACCTGTAACGGGGTAAGACTATTTGGTTAGCTGGTCTCGTTTCATATTAATATCTGAGGAATGAGTATAATCGCTCATGTTTAAGTAAATTTCACAGAAATTTTGATGAATATAAATACAAGGTAGTTACATTATTTTCATTTCAGTAAATAACGGTCGACACTGTTCTCTGAAGCCCGCACCAGCAAGGTGGCGAATGACTTTCTTTTGAGATTTGAAAATACTTATGGCATTGCTTGAGGTCCGTTTGAGTACATAGCTAGTTACAACGGGGTTCAGCACCAAAACATACGCTGATGCTCTTAGATTCCATCCAGAGAAGAGCCATTCGCCTGGTGGGTGACGCCACACTCACTCACTCTTTGACATCATTGGAACACCGTAGAAAGGTCGGCGACCTTTCACTTTTCTATCGATACTTCCACGGGAAATGTTCTTCGGAAATCTCTGCTATCATCCCTTCACTAGCAATACCAATCAGACGAACTAGACAAGCCCAGTCAGCACATCCTTTCGTTGTCAACCTCGAAAGATGTCGAACAGCACTTTATCAAGACTCCTTCATCCATAGAACGGCTAGGCTCTGGAATTCATTGCCTGTGGAAGTATTTCCAACAACATTTATAATCTCCAAAAGTTCAAAAAAAATTCCAATACCTACCTCCTGTCTCTATCCTCCCTAGGAACGCACGATGTTGTTTGAACATTATAGGGATTCCCTTTCGTGCGCTCCAAGCGATAAAAAAAAATCTGCTTTTGCGTTTTTTTCACCATCGAGTTGTAAAGAATTGGCAGAGAACCAATTTCTATCAAGAAGGAATGCTCGAAGTCATCTCCACAAAATTTTTAATGATGTTACTTAATCATAAGGGACAAGTTTATGATTAAGTAACAACATCATTGAAAATTTTGTGGAGATGACTTCGAGCATTCTTTCCTTCCTGTGAAATATTTCACTCCACTTTGAGCAATATGGACTTCTACCAAAGATCAATCATCTTTTGGTTGAAAGCAATGTTGAACATTTTATTGAAGACGAAGCTTTAAAATGCATTGGAATAGTCACATCTCGCAAAATTAACCGGACGCTGGACGATTTGCATACGTCTAGGTCGGTCCCAAAGGGCGGCATACGGACCAGAAGTTACCTTTCTCTCAGATTATTTACGAAGGTAAACCCTCTTGTTGAACTATACATTTTGGCACATCAATCAATATTATAACTTTTGCATATGCACTGTGTCCCAGATTGGTGCTGCATGTATTGCTATCTCGGTTATTCTAAGAGATACAAACTTGGTTAAATAGACAATGTTTCTCAGAATTGTATTACCATTTCAGAACTGCCATTGCATCTTTTCGATTATTTTTCGTTTTTGAAATATTCACGAAAAACAAAAACTGTGCGTTATTAATATAGCCCCGTATCTCAGTTATTTGAACATTATAGGGATTCCCTTTTGTGCGCTCCAAGCGATAAAAAAAATACGGTATTTTGGTTTGGACATTTCATGGGCACTTTCTCAAGGTCTTCGCAATAATAAATAAAACAAAATAATTTTTTTTCTCGTTTTCGAGACGCCATATTGGATTGAAATGAGCGAATGTTAAAGTTTCCTTATGAATTTTGTGCTACTGTGCTCGATATGGTCTAGTAGGCGAGTCAACAATTTATTTATCTTAAAACTGTCACTACTGTCAGATTTAGTTGGTTTACGCCACCAGAGATTCGTTCAAAATTTTGGTTGCCATGGTTTCAAATGTTAGGTTCCGTTTTGTCGCTGGAAAACTTTGGGAAAAGTTTCTTCGCTGTCATTATGACAAAATCACAGCGGCCCATGGATTGAATTGAATTGAATTGAAAACGAGGTTGGTCAATTCGGCTTCTGTATTGCGGTATAGAGCAAGTCCGATCATTGCAAGTAAACAAATAATATCGCTATAATACAGGAGAAACCTCGAGAAAAAGGTGAAAATGGTCGATTCTGATTGGTTCTCGAAACCATCGTCGATCAAAATGTCAAAAGTCTAACATAAAAAAAAATCAACTGAATGACGCCCTGGCCAATGATTTCGTGGTCACCCGGTATGGAAAAGATCATTTCGATACAACCCTATCAAACTTTTGTGAAATGGTTGTGTATTAATGCATTTTATATCCTTTTGACCCAACGCCAACTTCCTATTCGGTCCCTTTATTTCATCCCCCTTCTTATTCACACATGAATGTATGTGATCTTATTACGAATAAGTATATTTTTATCCTTCAGAATAGGAAATAGATAGTTTATTGATTGCACACATATGCTGCTTTCCCATAAAATAGATACACGATTAGTAGTTGATATCCAAGGGTGGACGAGTCACATGTCGATTCACCAAAAATATACCTCGATATACAGAGTGGGCCTTTGAAAACGAAACAGAGGCTCTGAAGGTCGCCAAAACCGGATTATCAAAAAAAACTGAAACAGGTCAACTACATTTTCGAGGGGGACATCTTTCTAAAATATTTTCAGCCCTGCGGCGTTGCCGCTTCTAAAGAAAAGAAGCAACAACTTTGTTATTTCAAATGGAACACCTTGTATTTTATTGCATTTTTAGATTCTCCCCGAAGAGCTGATTTCATCAATGCATCACACTCAGGGTCTAGCTGTAATGGTTTCAGGGATATAAAGTGTTCAAAATCGAGATTTTTCAACTTTAACATTTTTTTGTGTCGAAACTATTCATTATTGGTCAAAACGGCTCTCATGTCCCGATCTCAACTTGTGATTTACTATCTACTGACATTTATTTGAAACAAATACAGGGTGGTTCAAGATTCAGAATTCTGATCACCCTGTATCTGTTCCAGTTAAATGTCAGTAGATAGTAAATCACAAGTTGAGATAGGGACATGAGAGCCGTTTCGACCAATAATGAATAGTTTCGACACAAAAAAATGTCAAAGTTGAAAAATCTCGATTTTGAACACTTTATATCCCTGAAACCATTACAGCTAGACCCCAAGTGTGATGCATTGATGAAATCAGCTCTTCGGGGAGAATCTAAAAATGCAATGAAATACAAGGTGTTCCATTTGAAATAACAAAGTTGTTGCTTCTTTTCGTTAGCAGCGGCAACGCCGCAGGGCTGAAAATATTGTAGGACGATGTCCCCATCGAAAACGTAGTTGACGTGTTTCAGATTCTTTTCATAATCCGGTTTTGGCGACCTACAGAGCCTCTGTTTCGTTTTCAAAGGCCCACTCTGTATATTTCGACCCAAATACGATCATTCTACACCAAAAAAGTTCTATGGCATTTTCTTTTGAGAGCAATACTTTCCATGAAAAATCCACGCGAATATTTTGATGAGTTTATCAATATATATTTTGCCGTCGACCAAGTTTAATGATCGTAGCATAGGCAACCAAACATACACGGTTTATGCTATAACTTACGTAATCTGCATTTAAATCGAAAATATGAATTTCATCAAAGATAGTTATTTATTATACAAGGGAAAAAAGTAGTAGATTTCAGCTCCAGGTTGTGTTGAGACAAAAAACCGTGAGCTAAAATCTAATATTTTTCCCGTGTATAATACACTATTTTTTTCTGTGACAGAAGAAAGGACGAATCAATATTGAGATGATATTACATCATTTTGAAATCTGAAAATTATCGACGTGAAATTTTAAGTTTTTAACAGTAGGGACACCTGCGTTGTAGGCATCTTTATCATTCTTTTGAAGTAATCAAATATCTGATGTCACTTCTGTCAGTCTGATTCTGTGATTTGATTTCAAAAAATTTCGAATTACGTGGTTGTTTAGTAATATACGAAACCGCGAAGTCGAATGAAAGATAAAAGGACTTGCAGTTCTTTGTCGGAGACGGTATTATTGACTCATTTTTCGGAACTTCAGCACAACGAAAGCCATCAACAGTGTTTATATATCTGATATATATCCGGGAAAAAAGTACTTACTTTTTCACCACGGGAAAAAAGTAATTTATGAAAAGTGACATTTTATAACCTGCCAACAGAGATGAAATGTCAAACTTTTTTACCGTCACAGAAAAAAATTATTTTCTATGTATATTATTTTGACAAATGTCAAACGTCACTCATGTCAGTGACAAGGCTACTGGGTGATTCTCAGTAATTTCCGGATGAATGATGAATTCGCGAACCAAGTTTTCTTCATTACAGGAGAAATCAGAAATATAGTCGACGGAAAAATTTTGTAACCAACTCGTATATAAAAAGCGATTAATGATCTGGAACATTAACGCGCTCGCTTTGCTTGCACGTTAAAATATCTCAATCATTAATCGCCCTCATTAATACCCTAGCTGATTAAATAACTATTTATGATACTTCTACTACCATATATCATAATAACTTCCTACCTTCTTATCAATGGTATTACCTATCAATGTGCATCTTCTATTGATGAAACGACTGGTTGGCCTCCTGAAAACAGCATTTGAATACAATTTTTTTCCTGATGTATTTTTATCAAACATATACATTATAGTTTCCATCATCAACAATTTTTTTTTTCATATCTACTGAGTGGCGAGTGGCAATAAACAATAGTGAAAAGCAGAATTATTAATTGCAATGATTTCAACTATAATACGTTATAAGTTTAATTTTATTTCATGGAATTATGCTCAAAATTTCTAAATATAAACATGTTCTTGCTATACTTACGACTCGATCTCTTACGGGAAATATTCGTGTAATGTCGTTATCGTTGGTGAATGTTATGGAACTTGAAGAAAGTCATTACATTAGGTTCATTGTAATCGAATTTTCTTTTACTTTCCTGTAGATACTTCCACGGGAAATAATCCTCATACAACTCTGCTATCATTCCATCACCATCAATACCAGTCAGACGAACCGTTATACTCGGTGGTAACGGACGAACTCGACAGGCCTAATCAGTACATCCGTTGTTAACTTAAAATATGTCGAACAACACTTTACCAGAACTCGTTCGTTCATAGAACGGCAAAGCTTTGGAATTCTTTGACAAGAGAAGAATTACCAAGACCTTATAACTTCCTTTCAAAGTTTCAAAGAATCATTTAGCTCCTCTTCATATCCTTCCTAGGTATACGCACGATGATTGTCTTGTTTGTGTTTCAACCCATTTGGCTATTTTTTTCAAATCTCCAATACTATTGATGAGGTAAATGCATTCAGGGATCGACACCAAATACCAGATAAATCTGACAACTGCGGGAACAAAGTGAAGTGTTCTCAGTATAATTCGGTAGAAGAATATACTCTCTTTCTACAGCGGGACAAATTTTGTGTATATTCAAGAAGGGGATGAACATTGCTTATTGAAAAAGTCATGAGATCTAACATCTGATGAGAATCAAAGTAATTTACCGAGAAATAAGAAACAATGGCTAAGAATGAGAATATTGTTTCTCTAGTTCCAGAACAGTTATAATGTGACTTTGATTGATTGATCGGTTCATTGTACCAGTATATCACCTGACGAAGCTACTATGTTAGCAAAACATGTCTTGAAACATTGATAGAACTTCAGAAAGAGCAGTGGTGAAATTTTTTTATCAAGCATGGAAGTCTCAACGGCAACCTCTTCCATGATGACACTGGACTATAAATTTTGAATTGACTTGGCCGTTACTTGATGAAAATCCATTGCAAA